CACACACACACACACACACACACACACACACACACACACACACCACCTATCAATCCACAGAAGCCAATAAACACTCCAAACTCCCAGTGTCCTCGTAACTTCTCAGAAAGTAAACGGGCAAGCTTTTCCTTGAAAAAGCGTGAGTTGGGCCATTCTGCTGGTGGCACAGCCCTGCCTGAGCCTCCCTCCACCAGGACTGGACTAGAAGCTGCTTCTGTGCCTAGGGATGGGAGGATTCGGGGAAAGCTTGGGTAAGGAACGTCCAAGTCAAAGGCTCCTGGAAAAGGAGAGATGGAGAGGGCAGAGGGAGTCCTGTCCCACAGGGTCAGAAGCCAGCCAGGCCCTCCCTCGCAGAGGCCACAGAGAAGGTACCCCTCACCCCAACCTCATGAGTACCACAGTCCTCCCTCCCATATACACACCGGCAGTTCTCTCATCCATTCAGACACCCAGACTGTTCACAACGACAGTTTGGGGAACACAGGAAGATTCAAGCAGGAGGGCCCCAGAAACCATAGTGAATCCCACAGAGAATAGGAAGAAGAAACAAGGGAGAAGGTGAAGGCATGGGGGAGGTGGTCACTGAGAGTCCCTTCATACAGAGGCACCCGAAGGTCCGGAAGAACAAACACAACGTCTAAAGCCTAGTAGGACAAACCTCAAATGGGAAAAGACAATTCTCTAGATCCTAGGGCTGAAAAAAGAAGAGGAGGAGGAGGAAGAGGAGGAGGAGGAGGAGGAAAAGAAAAAGAGGAAGAAGAAAAGGAAGGAAGAAAGGAAGGAAGGAAGGAAGGAAGGAAGGAAGGAAGGAAGGGAAAGAGAAAAAAAATTAAAACGCTGGGAGATGCCCTCCACCAGCTCAGTGCAGCCCCGTGGGTACAATTCAAGGCCAACCCCGGGAATCAGAAGACCTGAGTAGGACCTGAGATCTGTTGTCTCAGATTAAGGTGGCAGGCGAGTCTAGGGAACAAACTTTGGCTCTGTCCCTGAGGCTCACGGCAGCCTGACTCAGGGGTCCTAAGAGGACCCAAACAGGCAAGATTCGTGTAGTCTCAGAGTCCAGCCCAACAGGAGAAAAGAATCGCCACAGACAGCGGTGTCGTTGTGCGCGCCAGGTTTCCGACCTGAACCGACTCTTTGGGGTGAAGGGATCTGGGACACCACTACACCCCCTCCTCGAGAGGTAGCTGGAGACCAAGAGCTTAATGTCAGCCCCATTTCGGAGCCCTAAGGGACCCGGGCCTGGTTGGCCCTACCACCTACCACCTACCACCTCCTAGCCTGGGGCGAGGTGGAGAGACGCCTGAGTTGACAGCTCTCCGCCCAGCGGGTCCGCCCCGCCGCCTCCCGGTTCCGCACTCCCTTCCGCAAAAGGCCGTTCCCCCTTTAAAGCAGCGTCCGTCGCCCCTTTAAGGCCCAGCCTCCCTTAACTCTCTCTTAACTGGGCGTCCCCAGGGGGCCCGCGACGCCCGGCCGCCGCCGCCTCCCCAAGAGGCACTTCCGGGCCTCCGCATCGCCCTTTTAAGAGGCAGGCCCCCGGGCGGCGCACGGCCCCG